TAGATTCAAAATATTAGATGGTAAATAGAGTGATCGGAAACAAATTTTAGACTTGACTGTCTAATCTTTACGCATCAATTAATGTCACGTAAATTATAAGTTCTTCGACACCACATTGTCTAGGGATGCCGACATCCTTGTGAAAGGTGATGCCATTGAAAGATACGGCTAGAGATCCCTAGCAGGTGCAGAGGGATTGGCCGTCCCATATGGTTTTGGCTGGGCAGTATACAAACTCAGCCTCAGTTTGGTTTAGCTAAAAAAATATTGATAAAATCTAAGTCAAAGTCAACAATTAATTTTAATCACACATTTAATTAGATTCACATCTTTGATTAACTTTAACCACACATTTCATTAACTTTTATAAATATCTACTAAAAATTTAATTATTAGAAAAATCAAACAGAGGCTCAATCGCTCCATAGCAGGCCGTGTTACTGTTCTGCCACCCTGCATATATGGGAGGCATGGTCTCAGGCTATGCACCGCCAAGCCGCATGAGATTGGCTAGTGTCGCCAACAGAGACACCATGAACATTGCCTTCCAATTTCAGCGGAAGCCATCGCAGAAGATAATATTTGTTTTTACACAAGGGAGAGAGAGTATTTTAATTTCTTTCTGGCACTTGAAACAATTTAATTTGTATGTAAAAAACTTTGTCAAATGTGATGTTTATACAGAGGAATGGATCATAGGATGGCTGTCACTTGTTTCAATTTAATGCTGTAACAATTCTCGTTTTAGAGACAGTAACATGTGCCATAATGTCGCAATGTTTTCATGTGCCAAGTGTCTTCTATTTCTTTGCTTGGGTTCCGTTGCTTGAATAGTACAAATAATACTGAACTTGGTAGAATCAGGGCTGGGGAAAATGTTCGAACCGAACCGAATCGAGCGAGTTTTTTTTAAATGAAATACCCGAACGAGTATCCGAATCGAAAACCGAATGGTTTAGTTCGGTTCTCGATTCTAGACCCAGAACCGAAGAACCGAATAAGAACCGAATTTTTTTTTTTATATTGGATAAATCAATTTCTTTTATTTTTTCTAAATAAATTAATAATTTTTTTCTTATTAAATTTTATTAGTTGAACAATTTAGAGTTTATTTATGTTTGTTAGTTGTGTTTTTTTCAATTTTTTTCTTGTATAGTCTCTTAGTAGTTAGTATGGAAAGTCAAGCAACTGATTATTACATTAAATACTTGGTAAGTATTATCAATATTTTAAAATATTTTATCTTTATTACTTCTAATTTATATTTCATTTTTATGTAGACTTGAATGTTTGAAGCAAATGAATTATTGATATGAATTATCGAAATTTTATTAGTAATATTTACTTTTTCGTATTTGTATTTGACAACTTATTATTTATATGTTATTAAATTAGATTACGTTAATTTGTAAAAGTTAAGATTGAACTTGGTATTTATATCTACTTTTTGTTATTAATATTAGTATCTACTTTCAGGTGTATTTATGTAGTATTATTTTAAATGTTAAAAAATTTAATTATAGTACGGAACCGAATAGAACCGAACCCGAACGATTTCAAAATTATATTTGGAACCGACGGTTCCATTTACTAAATACCCGAAAATTTCTGGAATCGGAAAAAACCTAACCGAACCGACCCGACCTGACCCGCGCCCACCCTTAGGTAGAATTAGATAAGCAATGGCCTACAAATTCTTTTATATTTTTTTTCCTTAATTTTGTCCAGTCTTATTTAATTTAACGTACAAAATATGAGATCTCACAAACCTTCGTCAGCAGGTTTGGGTAGATAAGCTGATCCACAATGACAATATTCCATTCGAGCAAGTTCAGGTCTATGTTTGAGTTTATTCCATGTTCAAAATCAACAAGGGAGATCTTACCGTAGTCGATACCTTAGATTTCTTAAAAAGTGATTAGTTTCTACATATGATGGATGATCACACAATTCAATTCAAGGACTTCCAGCAATGCTGAAATGCTCTAAAGAAATCACATTTGACAGATTTAATGCTGTCATTTCAAGAATTCGTACCAAATTTTCAAAGAAAATGTAGTTTAGTGGCCACAAATTCATTTTCCAGTATAATGGTACAACTGGATTTTATATAGAGTAATGTTATGTAGCCTCACTGTTGGAAATAAATCCCACATCGCCTGTGGACAATATCTTGGACCCGCTTATAAACAATGTGGCAAACCTCTCTTGCTGAACCGATTTTGTGAGATGATTTAGGCCCATAAATTTCTACATAGTATTAAAGCCTACCACAGGATTGATGTGGGCCCACACTACTTACCTCGTGACGAGGACCAAAAAAAATTACTGGCCTGCACGTGAGAGAGGGTGTTGGAAATAAATCTCACATCGCTTGTGGACAATATCTTGGACCAGCTTATAAACAATATGGCAAACTTCTCTTGCTGAACCGATTTTGTGAGATGAGTTAGGCCCATAAATTTCTACACTCACTAGGGTTACAACCCCACTCTGATGGCGTTAATATAGCATTAAATAATATGTGAAATATCATTACTCTTTTGATTAATGAATTCTTATTAAATGACTGAATTTGATTGCTCTCTATGCATGTGCATGTACGTGTACGTTTACGTGTGTATATATATATCGAGAAATAATAAATTTTCATCATCATCGCTAACACAATAATACATGGAATACAGTGAGTTCAATTGAAAGATATGCGAATAGTAGAAATATAAGATGTGGGCTCGTGGACTCCCTATTTCTCTCATGAGGAATATAGCTACTCGGGCCACAACCACCATCTCGTAACAATCTAATACACCATATAAGAAAGCTGCATATGGAAGAAAAAGTGAGCATTTAAGACGGAGTCCCACCCAGAGAGCAAGAGACTCGGCGTCGGCCACAGAGAAAGAACCCCGCATTTAAGACCCATAAGCAGCCACTACTCATCCCTCATGATCGTTAATTACCCCACCCACCATACTCACAAATCCCTCCGCACTCTTCATTGCAACTTCAGAATTCAGTTTGAGTGCCCCTAGTTGCTGTGGGGACTATTCCGGGACCATTCCTTCCCAGCTTCCCGTCACCCCGAGCACCCCTGCAGTGCTGGCATTCTCCCAATTATGTATATTTAACGTACTACATGTTGTAGTGAGTTGACCTAACTTTCCATCCATTATGAACAAGTGATTTAATTTACAAGAAATTCATAATTCTCAATCTTGTGTATAAGAGTTAATCTCCAAATACCCCCATTGGATCTAACAATCAAACCTAAGTTTTAATGGTGTTTCGCTTTATAAAATATGAGCTAATCTCCATTCATCCACACGTGCAGTGTGAATAAATCTCATCTAATACTCAATTTAATAAAATAAAAAAGAAAAAAAAGTTAAGATTTGGATTCAATGTTTTTGAAATCTTGCATTGTAAACTTGATCAATATTTTGTCTATGCATGAAGCTTTTGATAAAAACTACCTATTCTTTTGATCTAAATACCCATAATATAGTTAGCTTCACCCAAGTTCTTCATTTGAAACTATTGGGCCAAATACGACAACGTCACTACATCATTTTTCATGAGTATTATGCCATCACAAAAATTGTTGTGCAAATACGATTATTAAATTAAAGATGGTGTATTAATCAAAATTATATTTTAATTGGTGTGCATATATGATATTGTGTGCTAAGTAAAATTAGTGGTGGTAATGTAATTAACTTAATGAAAAGGTCTGTGTTACGAACATAAAGAAACAAGTTATGAAAATGAGATTAAAATTAATCCAATAACAAAAGGATTATCCAATTTATTTATGTATTCAAAATTCATAATCTACAACATCTGATGCCTCTAAGAATAAAGTAAAACATATAAAATTATGCACGAGCACCGCCTATCTTTTATTAATTAAAAGCCATTAAAAATGAGAGCTAAGTTCAACCCATATAGAGTTGAGGGGGTCCCAATTAAAAATAAATAAATTAATAAGCATAATTTGGTTGTGAAATTAAATTCAATCTTTTTTTTCAGGTTTTTGGCCGGTTTCAAACGTGATAATTTGTTACTTATTCAATATGTGTCCCACCCTAACCTTCCTATATATAGTCATTCCATTTGCATCTCTAGAAATCGAGAATTTAAAGGAAAATAAACACACACTAGATCCTAATTAACCCTAGTGTGTGCACATAAAATGACTAGCGAAGTACAATACATGCATTTTCTTGTATTGGTTTTCTTCTCATCTTTCCATAACATATATGGGTACGGTGGCGGCGCCTATGGAGGTTGGGAAAGCGTCCATGCAACATTTTACGGAGGCTCCGATGCTTCTAGAACAATGGGTACGTTGGGTCACACACAATACTAAGTAACAAGAATTCGTTTTTTCCTTAATGATATTGTGTCCAATCCACTATACTAAAACACTCCATCATTGTTTTCAGGTGGAGCATGTGGATATAGTAATTTGTATAGCCAAGGTTATGGGACTAATACTGCTGCATTGAGCACTGCCCTTTTCAACAATGGGCTAAGCTGTGGTGCGTGTGATAAAATCAAGGAAAGAGTCTAAGATGAAGAAGAACTAAAACTAACAAAGAACAAATGAAATTAAAGGAATGAACAGAGGACAGATGACAGGAACCGGGAGGGATAAACCTGCTGAAGCAGGGAAGTAGATCAATTATTCATTCAATCAAGCTTAAGGAAATTACAATGCAACTAGTCTATATATAGAGGAAATAGCTAACCACTTATCTAACAAACTAACAATATAACAAACAAAGGAAGGAACTAGAAGAAACTAGAATAAGCTAGAATCTGAAGCTGGAAGCATAAGCTGAATTCTATTGTGTTGTTGCTGAATATTCACGTGCAGGAGGTAAGCTGAAGAACTGGTACTGACCACGTGAACTGGAGGCTGGTTTACTGATGAACTGCTGGTTTGTTGCTGGTAAACTGGTGATCTATTGAATTTTCCAACGGCGTGCTACGAAATGAGGTGCAATGACGTCCCCAAATGGTGGCTTCCGGGGACCATAACCATCACCGCCGCCAATTTTTGCCCACCAAACTATGCATTGGCTAATAACAACGGCGGCTGGTGCAATCCACCTCTTCAACACTTCGATTTGGCTCAGCCTGCATTCTTGAAAATTGCACAGTACCGTGCTGGTATAGTTCCTGTGGTCTATAGAAGGTATAATTTTGAGTTACAATTACTCAACTTCAAATTCTGAAATTAAGTAAATTTTTTCATTTTTTTTATAATTGGAGTTGTTAAATTTCACTATCACCAAACCCTCATTTAAACTTCCAAAATGAGCTTTAAATGATGGAAATGCATAATTGGATCGTAATGCAACTGCAGGTTTGGTACATAATATTAACATCAAGATTCAATTTTATTTTTTTTCTTCCATCCAATCGACTTTATCACACATGTTAAAAGGTCCCTATCACCCAGCTATATGCGTCTAAGAAGTATGGCACGAAAATTAGAGATTGCATAGCGTCATTTTGATTGTCCTTCCTTTTAGTAATCATTTTATGACACTCGTTAACAAATTCATTAACGACATCATATCGACAGGGTTCCATGTATGAAGAAAGGAGGAATGAGGTTCACAATCAATGGCCATTCTTACTTCAACTTGGTGTTGATAACAAACGTTGGTGGAGTGGGAGATGTGCATGCAGTATGGATCAAAGGGTCACACACTGGTTGACAAAAAATGTCAAGAAATTGTGGCCAAAATTGGCAGAGCAATTCATACCTAAATGGCCAAAGTCTTTCTTTTAGAATAACAGCCAGTGATGCCCACACAGTTACCAGCTACAACGTTGTACCAGCAGGCTGGCAATTTGGACAAACTTTTGAAGGAGGCCAATTTTGAACAATATTTATCTCTCTCATTATCCATGTTTCTATATATTGGCAAAAGGCAATGTAGCCGCAAGGCTTTTACATTCAAGAAGTTTCTAAATTCCTATAGATAAATGTATACATGTGTATAATGTCTTCTACGAAGTATTAAAATGTGCTGAACAATATAATAAATAAAATTTCAACTTCTTTTCTATGTGCCTTACTGAACAAACGAGTATAATTTAGATCAATTAAACTTTCATCTTTTTGATAAACGAGCAAGTAAAGATCGTTTTCATAAAATAAGAGTGCTCCTAATTCTTATTTTACGAAATATGAGATCGATCTGTGTTTTTTCTCATCTATAAGTAGGTTATTATAGGAGAATAATAATACGATACACAAATAACTTTGTTTCTTATCTATCATCATATATATCATAGCAAGTTTATTGAGACCCGAGTCGAACTATGATGATCACTCTCCATCTCGACCTTTAACAATTTAGTGATGCATAAGAGCAAGTTGAATTTATCTTTTAAGTTACTTATTTTACCAAACAGGTTCAGATTCCATCATAATACATGAAACCAACATTTCAAATTTTATCCCGGAGATTGATTTCCAAAAACATCAGGAGAAAAAAAACAAATTATACATCCAAAGCCACCAAACTATTAGTAAATACAGTAAACACGGATAATCCACTAAATGCACGATGAACAAGTTAGAATGTACACCAAAACCAACACCTCTACCATATATGATAAGGGCTGCACCTCATAAAAACTCACAGATGAACTCAGTAATTGAGCAATGAATACTTCACTCTAACTACAATTTTCCCTTTCTCTACACTGAGTTTTCCTCCGGTAACTAACCAGTGTCCTGGAGGATCTTGTGGGCCCTTGCTCATTTCTGACATGTCGACAAATTTCGCCAACTTGTTACCCACACTATTTTCCCCAGAGCTTGAGCTCGAGTCGTCGGAGTTGCTTCCAATGGAAAACTGTTTTCTTGACTTATCGTTCGAAACATGATCCCATAATGATCTACGTATTGTGCATCCTGGAAGCCTTGAATACAAAAGCTTCATATGCAAGACATTTCTCGACCCAAAATCCCACACTCCGAGTTGAGCTCCAGTGACAATGTACACGCCCGAGAGATCACCTCCTATGAAGGTCTCAGAGTTTTCAATGGGTGCAGTGCTGACGTGGGAAAATTTCTTCCATTTCACTGGCTCAAACCATCTGCTGTCTTGTTCTTCGGGACCCTGCCATTTTGGAGCACCTATTGCAACATGCGTATCCCAGTAGGGCTGGAGAATCTTAGGAAGAGATGCCAAATGCTGAAGATGAATACTAAGTCGATTTTGTTTGATTCCTTCAAGACATAATTGCATACCAGTCACAGGCTTGCGACCAACTGATACCTGCGCCGAAATTAAGGAGAGTTAAAATAATACACTAATCAAAGTACAATACAGGAAAAAAAAAGTTTTTGGAAACATGCATTGGCTTTTAGATTCGACTATGCAATGAACACTAATGGACTAATATCATCATTAACTACATTAAGGTTTGTTTGAGCCCCATTTTTTTGGGAAAATGAGTTTTGTGATAGTGAATTTTAGGAGAATGTGTCGTTAAAAAGTATGAAAAAGTTTCGAGGTTACGTGTAAATTTATTTTATTGGAGAATGTATGGTTGAAAATGAGTTCGAGAAAAAAAAATGAATTTTTAAAGAATGGGCTCAAACAGGTGCTAAATTCCCAACCTCACCTTATTCAGATTTTCTTACAAAATAATGTAAATTGATTTCACTTGTATTAATTACAGCATTCTATAAATTACAACTGGTGTTCCTTGATGCTCTACTGTGTGAACCACACACACTGCTGACCTTTTGTCACAGCTCTCAAATTCGATAATTCATCTCCATGAGCAATTTAAGTGAAACATATCAATATTTTACAATCAAAGTATATAAAGTTCGAGTGAAGGGAGAAGTATCACCGCAATTGTAAATAAATACACCTACTTGCTCTTGGCTGACATATAGCTTTTGCCCCATCATGCTGAACTGCAATGATGGGCAAACAGGCTCCTTTCTTGGTTGTCCAGGAAATCTATCCTGTACAGGGGCCCATATCCGAGGGACCTGAAATTCTAGGAAATATCTCAATTCTTCAATTTGAGGCTTGTCTGCACATCAATAGTTTAAAATAATTTCAGTATGGCTAACTAATAGAAGGAAACCCCCCCACCCCCCACCCCCTATCTATCACTATTGTATTGCTGAAATTATATAAAAGTGAATGAAAACTTGAAGGAATGAGAAGTCCTACATTCAAGGTATAGACCTATAGCACGTGCCAGATACTCCTTCCCTCTAAATCCTTCAAGAAGTTCTGTTATTGGAACAAATGACATCTCAATGACATCTGGAGAAGATCGGACTGTTCTAACCCATTGAGTGTGGCTCTGTTCAAGATCATCCCCTGGGGAAGAAGACTTTTACTAACATTCATCCTGCATCAGATATAATCTTATAAAATTCCGGGAGCAAATCCATTCATATGAGCAGGCATAGAATTTCGCCACGTCTTATGCAATTTGTTTAGTGCTTTTTTGAGATAATTTCTTCACTTGATGAAACGACAACGTGAAAAAGATTAATGTGTGGATCCTAAATTTATTGGCTATATTCTTCTTCTTGTTTTGATAATTTCTCCATATCTGATGCGAATTCCACCAAGTTATCATCCGAAAAATCAGATTGCACTTCATTAGGAGGAGGTAGAAGAAGGAAATAAAAAAGAAAAAGGTTCTACATACTTCTTTGCCGTTCCCAGAGAGATAAGGTGCATTGGCAGGTTGTGGGTATATCCCTTGGCTGTTAAACAAAGATGGGTCACTGCCCTGAAAATTCAAACGGGAGAAATAAAAAGGTTAGGAAGCTAAAGAAAAATTTAGTTAGCGGATAACTACAAGTCTGGCTTTTTTATCCAGAACAAAGAGATTACACCAAATGAATTAGGGAAATAATTGCTGAAGGAGTGAGAAGAAAGAAATGTAACGGAACTAGCCTTATCTTTGGACTTCAATAAACCTGAATTTGTAAGGCCTTCTGCAGAAGAGAACCTTTGGTTCCCAATATCTTGAACATAATTTTTTATTTCCATGGTGGACAAAGGTGAAGATAGGTGCTGCTTGACGTAGATTACATCTTTACCGCCAATAGTTACAGACATAATAACATGAGTCCCAAAATTTTCAATGAAACTGTCAAGAGTACAGAATATAAAAAAATCAGTGAGTATTAAACCAATTAAACAGATGTTGAAATACACAACTTATAATTTCTACCTGGCCAGGGCTGGTGGGTCCCATGATGTTGGGACTGCTCTTCTAACATTTTCATGCAAAACCATGGGATATTTGATAATTTGAATCTTAGCTAGTGGAATGAAAATTCCATCCATGCAAAGCGACTTTGTGGCAGCAGCATCTACATGCTTAGAACCAGTAAAGCTGAACACAGCATTGAAACTACCAAGAGGAATGTGTCCAGAGATATTAGCCTTTTTATTGAAGTATTCCACCATCTGCAGTCATTTGCGATCGAAAGAATAAAAATTAGCTTATTATGCAAGATAATGAGATCATCGAATAACTTTGCATTAAGTAGTGTGCGTATTTAATGTGCTAACCCATGTCCACATAAGTGTCAACCTATAAATTTATCGAGAGATGGAAAAACGTGCAAACCCTTCTATCATGTCTAACTTGCATGTTAGCCTGATCAGTCCCTCAACCAGAAACCCTTCTTAAACGCCAGAACTTAGGGTCTGTTTGATTCATATTATTTTCCATGGAAAATGGAAAAAGTATTCCAACTTCCACTTTTTGAGTGTTTGATAGCATTTATTTTCTAGGTAATTTGATTTCCCTCTTTTCACTCCCACGTGCCATTTTCCTCCTTTTATGGGAAAACCAATTCCCACCATTTTGTTGGGAATTGCTTTTCTAGCTTTTTTTTATATATTTTTTTTTTATAATTGAAAAAAATTCTAGACACAATGGTAAAAAAAAATTCAATTTTATTGATAATTTCCATGTAAAACAAAGTCAAACGAATGGTATTCGGTACGGTAATTTTTTTTTCAATTTTTTTTTTGGCAATTGAAACAAGTTCTAGACCCAATTGTGGAAAAAATTATCACTTTAATGAACAATTTCCATAAAAACGAAACCAAACGGATACCAAACTTTCAACATTTTCTAGGTGAAAAATTATACCAATAGAACACAATTAATTACAATTCCCAGTAAAACAATTTCTAGACAATTTAATTCCCTGTAAAATATTTTCTTTCCGCCAATTTTCCACATTTGCAATCAAACGGACCCTTAATGTAAATAAAAACTAAAAAAAGAGGAAAATCATTGCAACTCAGCCCACACCGTGTGGCCATTATAGCCATTTTATGCGCTTGTTTGTTTCCCATTTTGTTGTCCCAAGTAGAAGAAATCAGACCATTAATCTTCAAAAAGCTACTTCTTTAATCATTTCATCTACCAGGATTTAGATGGGGTACCAATGTCTAATCCCAAGGAATGTCTAACAGAGGAAAGGTACTCCGATCGACGACCTCTTCGGCGATACATCTCTGTCGGTTATTTTGATGGACATACCAATTTTTCGTGTGGATGAGAACGAACGCCCAAATCATGTCATGTACAATGTGTACTAGAAGTCCAATTTATTCTTTTCATTTCACTTTACCTATTCTGCACCTTCTCTCCAAAAGAAATGCTCATAGTACTTGCCAAAAATGAGGGTATAAAAGTAACTCACAAAGACAACAAAATACGGAAATTAAGTCCCTTACAGAAATAGTGGGCCACATGATTTGATAGGAAAATGAATTCTACTCCTAACAATGGCGCCCTGAGAAGGTATATATCACCTATTCTAACCTAAATCCCTACACGTCTTTCCCTTCATCTCCTCCATTCCATTTCATTGGTGAGAAGATGGGATTAGCAATCAAAATCAAACTAAATGAGTTTTTACCTACATATACCAACCCGTATGAATACTCTTACCATTTGCAATTAACAATGACGAAATTCAAAAAGCCATGCTCAAATTTTTACACTTTTTCTCAATGCACAAACTCACATTCATACTCTTTGATCTTCAGCACTCTTCTACAGAATACCATAATCCCCACCTTGACAGCCCCTTATATAAAGGCTTAACGCATCATACATCTGGAAAAAACCATGATTTATAAAGAACAAAGTTGCTAGCTTTTCCTTCAGATATTTCAAGCATTATTCATTGAACTAATACCTATCGTCCTTCTAGATTTTTTATTTATTCACATTTATTGTATTCTTCGTTATGTAGAATAAGATACCATGACGACATCATTCAGATGCAACCTAAATTACATAAATAAATATCCCCATGGACTAGAACCAAATGGTTCACTGGTTGGTTTGGAAACACAGATTAGACTGAGGTACAAAAATTCAAGCATATTACCCCATGTTTAAGACTAAGAGTCTAAGATGTAATTAAAAGGCACTTTTCCTGATGTTCAGTCAGGTTCCGAGAAATCAGTATGCCAAGAAGAAGCCATTTCTTCTTGTTTCAGTTTCCCAACAATAAGCATTTTTTGGTGAAAGACTAGTCTAACATGTAGTTTCATAGACGCACTTTAAAGAAATTACTCTTCATTATAGACAGAAATAAACTTTTCCTTGTGAGCAGTCAGTGTCACCAAAGAATATGTATCAAATAATATCTGTATCTTTTCTTAGAAGACTCAACAAGAAAGGATTGGTTATTCCAACCCTCATTCTCTCAATACAAATAATACATGCCCTCGTTCCCAATTTGAGAAGAAACGGAACTTATGCAAGGTCGTAGTATTTCAGGTTATCTAATTAGTATGAGCAATATTATTAGCACTGCTAGCTCTAAAGTGCCAGGAGGCATCCTGTTGTCCAGGGAACACGAGTTGTAAATGCTTCCCATTATTACTGAATAAATTTCTACCATATGCGGGCCCCACATAAATGACAACTGGCTCGGCAAGCCATTATGACACCAGCCAATGAATTAATGGGTAAGCCAACCAAGCTAGAAACTGTTGGTTTCGCTAATCATTGGTAGTGCATGCCACATGGCAAAATATATGACCTTGATGCTTTCGAAATTATGATGTTTATGAAGCACAAATTTGTCAAATTTGGAGAAATTAATATTTTAAATTAGTGATACTTTCTTTTTCCTTTTTTTTATGACTAAATATTGTGCTAATTCATGAACCACTATAAGCCTTTGTTTGAGCCACATTAAAATTTTCATTCTCATTGTTCTACTCATTTTCAACCACACATTCTTCAATAAAATAATATTTTTCATCACATCAATAACTTTTCCTCATTTTTCAATCACACATTCTCCATCAATCCACTATTCCAAAATATATTCTTCCAAAATAATGTGTCTCAAACACACCCTAAGAATGTTATAGATACGCATTGCATATAGATACGCATTGCAGAAAAAAGGTTGTTAGATGGCACATTACCTACCATCATCAGACTTATATAGCCCATGTTTGATTCGGATTAAAATCTAATTTTAATCCAATTCAAAGTCAAACAATCAATATTAATCATATCTTTTATGGGTCCCACAACTTTTCAACCACATATTTCAAAAACTTCTATCAAAATCTACTAAAAATCTAATTTTAATTCCCACCAAACACCCTTATCGATATTGCACCAGGTTCACTGCTAAAATTATTATGTACTCAGGAAAAAATTATGTTACTCGGATTCATACTATATATATAAACTACCATATTGAAGTCAAATTAAAGCAAGCAAGGTGAAAAATGCTCAATGTTAACAAACAAAAAGGGCTACCAAAAAACCCACAAGAAACAAGGAATTAAAACACGAAAAAAGAAAGTAAGAGATAAATTTGGATATTGACAAAAAAGGAACAAAAGAATCCCTCGATTTCTTCTTTACCCTCTGTAGGCACAGCCCCTCTGGCATGATGCAGACAGATCTAGTATAATATTGATCTTTGAAGATTCATTGGACCAAATGGCAGTGGGTTACTAGGCCTGCCATTTGCTATCACATTCGTTGCATTAACTGTAGTTACTTTACAAGATCCTACAGATTGAAACCAAGGAGATATAGACATAATAACAATGGTCACACACTGATCTACTACTACATGACACAGTGGATGACGTTGACTTTACACTTACTATTTCCTTCACAGCACAGACGTACTGGATGATATAAGATAAGATCGATAAATTTTATACAGAACTAAGCATTTTGTAATTGGAAATACATAGAAGCCATTTTCTCTTGTGACAGGAGCATAAGTTCTCCATAAATCATGTGACGATTTAGTTTCCGAAGGAAGAGAGAGGCATCAACTATGGAAGTATGGCTTAAAACATTGCAAATCAAAAGGAGCCTTACATATAGAAATGCTACTTCAAATAAATTGGTCTCAATAGAATCCCCATGAATTTTTTTGGCTTGCAATCAGCCAATCACCATTGATTTTCTTCATTCAAAAAAGGGTATATACACAGGCAAGATCATATATTTATTCCCGAACTTCAAAAATAATTTTCAAGCAGAATAACATCCAGCCCACGGTACTTCCAGTGAAATATTATGCAAACTTAACTTTTCAGGACAAATTTTACATAATTTGTCAGACACCAATAGCTTGTCTCTCCAGGGATAAATGTGTCTCCATATTTCTTGGCATATTGCTTCTCGTCTCATACGACATCAGAAAGTGAATTTATTTCTCAGTCTAAGCTCTTAGACATTGAGAAAGAACACTGTCTATCTTTTGTTTCTTTTACTCTATCATGCCGTTAATGTCCCTTTTTCTTTACTTCACAAGCTTTCTTTCAAATGTAGCATCACTAATTACTAAGCCAGGAAGTTCACTTGATGTTGCATTAACTAATTCAGTCGCAATATTCACCTTAAACTTATAAGTCAAAACATCAATATTCAAAGCCATATCAAGTAATATAGTAAATAAGTTTCCAAACACATTGTGTAATTAAATTCGTATTTTCCAAAATACAGAATAAAAGAAGTTTCACATGCTCATTCTTATACCAGTAAACAAAAGACTTATTTTGTCAATTGACTGCCAAAAACTCAGAAAATATTAGGTAAACTTGGAAACATACCTCATTATAACTGCAAACACCAAAGCCATCTCGGCCCCAGGCCTGCTGGTAATTCTTAATGTCCCTCGAGACATTAGGGACAACCAAATTATCCGTCAGATATAAATCCCTCTGGTGCTCTTCATCAATTTCCACAATTCTTGACCCTGCCACTCCTTTACAATAAAGCAACCTCGTATCATAGTTAACATCAAAGCCCCTTCCCAGTGCCTGCACTGCATTCATAGCTGTATGCAAAGCTGCAGCATTTTTCTCCATTTCATCACCACCACCTCCCAAAAACAAAACTAACAAATGAACAAAACTCCAACCGCAAATTCTTATAATCTTCAAACTTTAGTACAATCCTATATAAACCCAAATTGCCAATTCCGAAACCAAAATACCACTCCAAGTAATCCAAGACCCTATTTTTCAATCAGGATAGTATAAGAAGCCCATCAAAAACCCATCTTTAATACACCAGAAATAACCATATAAGTCAACAATTGATGAAGCTTCAAATTCGAAGATCAGTCATCATCACGATCAAATCTGCATAACTTTGAAAAATACTAGTCTTTTAAAGTTGACTAAGGAGAGATTACCAAGAAAGATTTGGGCTTGAACCCAGATTTGATGAAACTGTCCAGCTACACTGTATATTTTTCCCAGATCTTGAATCTTCTATTCATCCAAGATTTTTTTAGGTTTTCCTCTTCCCTCTTATCTTTCTCTCTCTGTAAATAGATACATCTATCTCCAACAACCCTTAAAATATTTCTGTTTACCGTGTGTACTTTCCCTGACTATGGTAGCCATTGACTCTTTAGTCATTCATTAATTCACCTGCGTAAAATTTTCCTCGTCTACGAAATGTACGCGTGTTTCATCATTTGTTAATCCAGTTCCGATTTTAAACCGTTGGTATGCTTCGTCTAAGATAATCATGAAATCTAACGGCAGGAAATGAATGTTCGGGTTGACTTGACTAGGCTCCTGTTCGCGAGATTTTCTTTTTTTTTTTTTGAAAGAATGAGTTTTAGAAAAGTAAATTTTGGAGAAATTTGTGATTAAAAAGTAAAGAAAAATATGAAAATATTTTATTATGAAAACATGTGATTGAAAAAAATGAGAAATAATGATCGTCAAACAAGCAGGGGTAGACCTAGGGGGGTCCAAGGGGGCTAGTGCCCCCATCAACTTTTGAGAATTTTTTTTTTTTTTTAAATCATGTTTGGTATCGATTGAAATCTAAATTTTAATTTAAATCAAAGTTAACAATTAATTTTAATAACATATTTCATGAAATCTATAACTGTTTAACTTTCATCAAAATTTACTAAAAAATTGATTTTAATCTCCACAAAATATAGGCAAAATCAAAATAAATTTGAATTTCGATAACATGCTAATTTTAAAAAATCTCCGACAATCGTACGTTAATCGAATATACAAATTGCTTATGTCATCGCAAAAGTTATTTCGAGAACTACATTATGGGTATATCGAACAATTCAAACAGATATCAAAAATAGTTAAAAATACTTTAAATGTGAGTCTTAAAAAAAGACGTCTAACTCGCATGTTTTATAAAAAATTCAATTATTTCATTAACATTTATTATTTTTGCGATACAAATTTCTCAATATAATTTCTTCATTTTATATGGAATACGACGTCAAAAATTTTCGAAATTTTACATCCAAAAAAATCATATCTCATGTAAATTTTCGGATGGAAAATTACATGGGGGTATGATTTTTTTGGACGTAAATTTTCAATTGTAAAATTTCTCTCAACTTCTTTGTAAGTTCGATTGTACCCCCCTAATTTTTAAATTCTGCGTCCGCCCCTTCAAACAAGGGCCAAGTAAGTGTAACTAATTACGAAATTGATTTTTTTTTTTCTTTTTCTTTTTTAGTTGATGTTGTTTGTCATTAATGTAATTAGCCAAAATTAATTAACAAAAAAATTATATTATCTTATTCAGTTGAGAAGATAAAACATTCTCTTGTTGATAAAGGTCAAATTTTGTCATATTATCTTATTCAGTGTACTAAATATATGTAGGAAAGCATGTTTAAGATTATAAAAATGAAGAGAAAATCGAACAAATGATTTGTTGGGAAAAAAAAAAAAAAAAAAAACTTGTTGAATAAAAAAGAAAGATTTGGAATTTTACCGCACTTTTTTGAAAAGTTTGGAACTCATGGTGCAATTTATCGAATGGTGAATGGAATTATTAACCATATTATAGTTTTACTAAAACAAGAACTCTGATATCTCGAATTTAGCTAGGTTTTTATACAAGAATCAAACGTGCAATTTACCGAATACATATTGGTGAATGGAATTATTCACCATATTATAGCTTTACTAACACAAGAATTCTCATATCTCGAATTTAGCACGGTTTTTATACAAGAATCAAACATTAATCCAACACCAAACATGCTAATGCATATATAAAGAATTACCAGCTATAATATCAATCCCACTCAAAATCCATAATAAAAATCTGAAATTTTAGCGACATTACATATAACATAAGAAAAAAGAGAGAGAAATTCTAATCCTAACCCATGAATTCAAGTTAATCAAATAATCAATGAACTTTAACCCACCCTTTTTTCCTATCTCCTTTTTTTACCAGCTGCTACAAAAAATTAACAGATCTTCAATTCTCTTATGATTTACACTTTCTTATATATCTTCTCTCAACAAGAAAGATCAAGGGACAAGATTGGTTCCTGCATCTTCCTCCTTTTCCCCAGAGACCATTGTCAGCTCCTCAGCCCTCTTAGCCTGGTGTTTCCAATCAGTTTGAGCTAAAGTAAACAGCATCATGATTAAGCATGAAACTTGAGCTGCCACTAATCCCAACCATAGTCCCTGAAATCCAATTTTCAGTTTGAATGCAAATAGAGCAGAAGATGGCAATCCCACCAGGTAAAATGCTGCAATGTTTATCCGTACCCCGACTTTAGGCCGTGCAGAACCTGTCGTCGAAGATATAATTTAAATAAATAGTCTTATCTCTTTTATAACTTAAGCCTTTAAATAAAGTTTTTGCTCAATATGATATGTGGTACAAGTTTCAACACTTGGTACGAAAACTTAGATTTTAAATGATGTTGTTTGATACCTGTAATGGCACCGCACGCAGCCGTCTGGGAAGCATTTCCAATTTCAGCCAATCCCAGAATTGGAAGGGCTGCTGAGATTAGAGAAAGAACTTGTGGATCACTTGTGTACAATTTTCCCCACCAATTCTTAAGGGCCATACTAATACCAAAGGCTGAAATTCCATAACAAAGTCCTAAAAAGATTCCAATAATGGTAGCTAATTGTGCACGAGCAGGCTCTCCAGCACCCAAGGCATGACCAACGCGTTGTGATATGCTCAAACTGAGTGAAAATGGGAACACATAAACTGTTCCTGTGGTCTGAATCAAGACTCCCATGGCTGCTACACAGGATTCTGGATTGCTTAGTAATCCACTAAGGAACAGAACAATTTCGTACCACCACCATTCGAGACATACTTGAACTACACTTGGCAGTGCTAGTCCCAACAATGGCCCCCATCCGCAGAAAATCGAGGTCATCGTTGCACCAACCCAAGGTTTTATAGCCACTTTCGAGAAAAAGAGGTAAATGTATAAGCCAATGCTCATGTTAATGGAATATATTACAGATGCCATTGCTAGCCCTTTAACCCTTAAATTCAAATACGTTACAAGAAAATATGTAATAGGCAGGTGCAAGATTGAAACACAAGTAGCCACCATGGTATTCGGCGAATTCAACCCCTGAGTCCTTAAAAATGTCCTAAGAGGAACAAGAACAGCATGTGCTAATAGCTCCGGAAGGTTAAAAATCAAGTAATTTTTGGCTATTTTGCTTATGACTCGATCCTGACCGAGGCGATGGAAAACTACTTCCACGTTTAACCAGAGGACTGCCACGGGGACAGAAGCGAGGAGAAGGAGGAGGACAGTTTTTATATAGGTTTGGCCAAGAATAGACCATCTTCTAGCACCAAATGCTTGGCAACAAATGGGATCCATTCCAGTGCAAAGGCCTTTCATTACCGAAAATCCTGTAATGTTTGCAAACCCTACCGCTAAAGAGCCACCAGCCAATTCAGGTTTCTCCATATGGCCCAAGAAAAGCATTGAAGTTATAGTTTTTGAATAATACAGCATTGTTGTTAGTGCCACAGGAAATGCTATTTTCCCCAATTTGAATAGCTCTTCAACTACCTGTAACATTGATATTCGTTCCGCCATAAAAAAATTTCCACAAACATTGGGATAATTAAAGAAATTTAAATAAGTAATCATTTTGATCTTAAATTAATAATGCATGCACGTGCATGTGCGTGCTTATAGAATGACGGCAGGAGATGGTCTTGCGTGGAGTCCATACGCCAGATACAATTTCTAGGTCGAGTGTTCAAGATTCGTGCACGAATTTACGAGAAACAAGAGAAGAATATGAAAAAGAAAATTGATGAAAATGTTCGTGTTCCATTGATCGGCATGCATAAATTTTCTCTTATATCATCAGAAAAATTCAAAGAAAAAGTTAAGACAAAAATTGTACCTCTCTATGATCTGGCTACCATGTGTGCACTTTGTCTGAATGTTTGGTCTGATTCTTCACGTGTAAAATTAAATCACAGATTTGTTTAAATATTGTTTATGATCATGCTTGACAGGATTGTAAGATGCATCATAATTTACATTGATATCACCCCCAATAGCTTTTTGGAAAGGTTAATTTAATGTATATATTAGTTTTTTTAAAACTGTACGGCCACATCGAAGCTTGTTGAAGGCTAAAATATGGAAATGAAAAGAGAAAAGAGAATTAGAGTAAAACCCAAGGGTTTTTTCTTAGAAGGAAGTTGAACGATTAAATCTAGGATTCAAATTTCTTGAAATGGGGTTTTGATTATAATAATACATGAAGAAAATACCGGATAACTTATATACCAATTTATTTTGATAACATGCGAGAAAATAATATAACACAATTTGAAGTAATTGATCACAATTCAAAAACAAAATAATTGACGAATGAAGTTTTCACTAAAATATAGAGAAAGAACACAATGATTTTGTGTTTTTAATTTGTCTAATTTAGTCTAAAATGTAATGAAGAGATATATATTATATATATATATGGGACGTTTTAGGTCTCAAAAGTGGAGTTATTGATGAAATAGAATGGTAAAACACATTGAAACTTGAAACCAAACTGGACACGAATAAGACAACCGCTTAAGCGCAAGACGTGTGGCCATCTCGCGGCACCACCGCACAAGTGATAGGCAGGCGATAATCGGGTGGCATTGGAGCTAGAGATGGCAAAAAAAATCGCCCCGCCTCGAATGGGGCGAAAAAAACCGCCCCGAGCGGGTTGGCAGGGAGGGGCGGGGCAAGGAGGGCCGCCCCGTCTCGGGTCGTGGGATGGGGCTGGGCGGAGATGCCTCACCCCGAACTCGCTCCGTGAACCGTTTAAAAAAAAGTATCCATGTATTCTCTGGTAGAATACATGATGAACAAATATTTTTTGGAAGTAGAGTTATGGATTTATGTTCTTAAATTTGATGAACAATTTTTTTTGGAA